GGGGGATATCGTCAGGGATCATGGTCCAATCATTGAAACAGAGTCGATAATTCTTCTCTCTGGCTTCCAATTGATGATCGTCGTCTAATTGCCAGCCATCCCATTGTACTCTTGCTATCCTCCCCCCACGTTCCCCTCCCAGTCAGTCCATGCAGAATTCATTTAGGTAGCGAATGATAGTAGTGAACGAACTGCTGCGCCTCTCCTGCCAGTCCAAGACTTAGTGCAATGCTGCCTTTATCTTTATAGACTTCGAAAAGGCGTACGACCATGCGGACTGGCATTTTCTAGACAAGTGTTTAGCTAAAATGAACTTTGGGAAGGACGTCAGAAGATGGGTGCGCATTCTCCACACCAACGCCACCACCAAAGTGCAAATCAATGGACACCTGGGCCCTGACTTTCCCCAGCACCAACTTGCATTTATACCCAGAAAACGGCTGGTGGAAATTGTTTGCATGCCCAGGAATGAGGTGGACCAAGGTTGGTACCGCAAAATTGCTGTTATAACCAACTACGGGAACGCACAAATTATGGACATGACCAGGCAAAATTCTGGGCATACCCGGGACCTGAGGAGAAGATGTCAAATTGTTCATATAACCCTGCGACCGGATGGCTGAAATTATGCTCATAGCCTCATACCCAGCAGTCGTTGGGCCACAATGGTCTCCTTGGTGGGCATGACCATAATTTCGTGCTCCGCGTCCAGGGACTGCCGGATTGGGCACACCCCTACACTTTCCCACACTGTCAGGGGAACAGCTGGGCATTATGCAAACTTTATCGCCCTCACAGGCTGTGCTGCAGTTGTGTCCCGTCTGTGTCATGGAATTATGTACCCTCCGTTTTAGACCCCCTTTCTGTTGTCACATGCCTCCCTCCATCACATGACTTGCCTGTGGCTGGTCCCACATGATTTGCCTGGGATAAGCCAGTTAACATCTACGAGATTGGGCATGGAACCAGCCCCAGCGCGCTGACCACCTGGTTTATCTACATGAGATTGGGCATGGGATACAGATGCAATTTTCCCTTCTTTAAGTGGGGTACAGATGCAATTTTACCTTCTTTCTTTAGTTTTATGTGTGAACGTTTGCACAACCCCTTTTTTTTTTAACAACCCTTTAGTTTCATGTGTGGGGTACAGACGCAACTCGGTGTGTGTGTGTTTGTGTGTGTGTGTGTGTGTGTGTGTGTGTGTGTGTGTGTGTGTGTGTGTGTAAAGTAATATAACAAAGCAAACCCGATACACGGGGGGACCTCGTGATTGATTCACTCACCTAATGAACTGTGTTCCCCAGTTCATCCGTCTGTGCCATGCCAAATACCATCAATACTCAAGGACAAGTCCAAAGGCCAATAGAAGAGAAGATGGCGGAGGAGAGAGGAAGAGCGGGGAGCAACGATGGCATAACCATCAAGGTTGTAGTGACCAATAAAGGAGGGATGACACATCCCTTCACACGCTTTTTAGTGCTTGCTCCCGTCAAGGCTCATTAGAAGGTGAGGTGTCCTCGTGCGCCTGTCTAAGATGCCCATGGAATGTCACGATGCGAAGGCCATTAAGGCAAAACACGGTGATGTGAATGACGGCGAGGTAACAAAGCACTGGACAACAAGAGGTTGCAAGTCACAAAGGGGGGAGGACACGGGGGAGGAGGGTGGGCAGGCAACCAACACAAAGGAACAAGTGAAAAAGGCACGAAGTAGCGATACCAAGTTTGGAAAAACGGAGAGCGAAAAAAATAAACAAACACGGATGACGACAGACTGTTTCGTCAGAGCTGCACCGACTCATCAGGAGGCTAAACCCTCGACAATCTGTGGAATCTCTGTATTTGATGGTTTGGGTCATGAACCCTTTGACCCTTGTTGAAGGCAGACTGTCCTGCAAACAGAACATAGCAGTGGGCAGCAACCCTGCGGAGCACCAGGCAACGCAGTAGGGGCAACACGGCTGCACAACGCCAAAAACAACTGCAAGGAACGACACGGCGCGCAGGACAAGCACTGCGGCAACCACGCTGTGAAGCAAGGCAACCACACAGCAGGGGACAACAATGCTTGCGGTCGAGTAGCACAGTTACCATGCAGTGGAGCACAAGGCAGCACCTACAAGGCAAGTGAACTACAAGGCGTGCAAGCAAAGGACATGGAAGGCACGACCAGCGGATGAGCGGCAAGGCAGCGGAGCAGCGAAGCGCAAAGGCAACACCAACAACACGGCCACACCACACAGCGAACATATCAACCTGCAAAGAACCACATGTGAAGCAAGCGGGACAAGCAGCAAGGCAGCGGCAGAGCGCAGACGAGGCAGTCCACACATCCAACACGGAGCAAAGCAGCACATGACCTACTCACATCCCGATTGAACCCCGCGGACTGTTGGTTACCACCCACTGAGCCAGGGAGTCACTCCGACGAGCATCCGTCATCACCCATAGGCAACACAGACATCCCGAACTGAGCAGCCCCCCTAAGAGTGCAGTAGGCACTCCAAAAGAGGAACCACCGACTGTTTGGCACTACTTAAGGGTGCTCAGTTTGGTAAGCAAACATACTTAGAAAAAATCAGAGGGAGGACAGACAACAAGAGGAAAACAGACATACATAAAACTGATTTTGTGTGTGTGTGTGTGTGTGTGTGTGTGTGTGTGTGTGTGTGTGTGTGTGTGTGTGTGTGTTTCAGGCATGCAGCATAGTTTGTTTGTTTTCTTCTTGGGAAATGCAGCATAATTCAGTTTGTCCCTTTCTTTCTTTTGTGTATGGATATTTGCGAGAGGATCCGGCTCCGAGCCTTGGTTCGCTGACTCTTTTTTGTTTTGTTTTAACTTTTAAGTTTTAACCCCCCATTGTTTGTAATTTGGTGTCTCCTTTTGGAACAGACCACCAAGTGGAGTCAATGATGATGGGCTTCTGGAGCAGCCATGCCTGACAGTGATTTCATCTACAACAACCAATCTGAATGCTGCTTCTGTCCTGGAGCAAGGAGCCTCATTGACGTATAGTGGTAGAGACTGCAGTACACCGGTTGATATGAACAGTGTGGTGGCGGAGGCTCCCCCCTTCGGCTGGGCATCGCCACGATCGTTCATGATGGGGCCCTCTCTCATGTCTACGGCCCTTCTACAAGGGACCCGAGGAAGCGGGTTCAGCTGCAATGGCTGGTCCTATCTCAGCAACAACCATCATTTCCCACTGTCGACAAGAGACCCGCTACCAACCCTCGATTCGATCGCACCGTCATCATCGCTCTGTACACTCTCTCCAGCGGTGATCGACATATGGGCAAGTGCAGATGACACCCAGCAGCACATGTTCGGTGGCACCCTCTCCTCCCCACCATGCTCCTCGGTCTCTCTTTCTGCGTCACCATCACCACGGCCTGCGTCTTTGTCGGCACCCATCCCTTCTTCGAGTGTATCGCCCCTTTTGCCAGATTTAACGTCGATGAAAGCCATCATCCACTCTCCGTTGATGGGGGTCCACGACGATTCTCCAAGCCCGATGGATGATGACGATGGCCAAGAGCAGCATGACCATCGACACAATTCCCGGGATCGGATTGGGAGAGCACACTCCCACATAGGAGGATCGGCAACAGCTGCGGCCGCCATCATTGGTGTTGATCAGACTGCGGCCGCAGGCTTGTCAAGACGAGCTGCATCCCCTCTTGCTGAGACATCAACAAGTACTTCGCGGTCGATGCATTGTAGCGAATTTCCACCGAGATCGCCGCGCGTGGGCACTCCTCCGCCATCCTCAGCCTCTGCCTGCGTTGTTAGGTCACACCTGGCAAAAAACATGCTCCCTCGTCAGCAGCCCCGAACAGCCCCGATCTCGTCTATGACTCGCGCGACAGCATCCTCCATGGCAGCCGATGCCGCCAATGCGGTGGTGGAGAACACCTCCAGGGGGGTAGAGGAAAAAGAAGGTGGTCTTAGTCTGCCCCCACAAGCGAGCTCGACGGATTGCATTGCAATGGACAGCAGCTGTGGCGATCATGACTCAGAGGCGAAGTTCAGCTCGATCACAGCCGCTGATCTATCCGCTGATCTGCAAGAGAGTATGCTGCCGGCAACGGCAAGGACGCTTGGCATGGTGGTCCATAGCCATAGCCATAGCCACGAGGTGACGACCCTTTGCAGTGCTTCGTTGTCCGACACCAGCGGACACCTACTCTCGCAGTCGAGGGCTGATGCTGGGCCATTAATGCCGCAGACATCAGTGGTCCATAGCCATAGCCATCCGGTGGTTTGCGGCAACGACAGCGGCTCGGTTCAAATGATGGTCCCGTCATTGCGGCACGAGGTTTCGAACCCCGGCAGTACGTTCATGGACAGCCTACCATGTGTCCCCTTGGAGAAGGATGTTCAATGGGACCTAGGTCCCATAGGTCCCATATCCGGTGTCCCAAACGATGTCATTTGGGACTTCTTCATTCATGGGTTGGTGGACAGCAACCCACTGGCAGGCTTGCCTTCGCACGTTGAACCGGATGATGTCATGCCGGAGGCAACCGCTGCCGCCTCTTCCTTGATGTCAACGCCTCCCTCATTCGAAGTTTCGAACCCTTGTGGCTTAACAAAACAAAACCTTCCCCCTTGTCCTGAACTAGGAGTCAACTTCCCCACCTCCCGCGCCGTGAAGGTTGATCGTCGACCCTCTGCTCAACTCGTAACGAGAGATTTCACCCCTCCTCACACCGTCACCGTGAGGGCTGAATGTGAAGGGTCCATCTTGGTTGATCCCATTGGCAGCATCTTTGTCAGACCTGCAGCGCCGGCATCATCGTCAGAGAATCCGACGGCGAAGTCCTTGGATGAACAGGTTGCAGAGAACACCAGTCTGCTTGGCTACCAGTCTCGACCTTATGTTCCGGAAGGGCGGCGAGCATTGTCTACCGCTGATGGGCAGAGGATCCTACCTCGTACCCTTGCTACAGAAGCGACGGGCAAGCGGGGGGGGGTTGGGGGGACGACAGGTGGTGACCATTGTCAGAACAGCAACATGGACGTCAGAAATTACTCGGATGCATCGACAACGCCCTTTGTGACAAGTGTATGTGACCTAGGTCCATCTTCGCAATGCATGGGGGGCAGCCCAGGGCCTGTGATGATGGAAGGAGGAGCAACGACGCGTGCTGCGACTGGTGCTCCCTCTGACTCAGCGGCGGTCAGTAGCTCCATGCAGCTCCACGTCGACCACATCGACCCCTGCCATCTGGCAATGCCACATTCATCAGAGCTCAGCCAGTGCTGCTCAATCAGCAGTATGCCCTCCAGCAAGAGTACAGCGACGGCAGCAGTGCTCCCCATGCTCGTTTCCATGGACGCACACACATCACTGGGCTCTTCCGGAGGGACGTGCTGCATGGACAACATGCCAACCGAGATCGTAACCCGGGTGTGCAGCGACGGCAGTATACTTCTTCCTGTCGGAGGGCGAATGATCGCCAGTGACAATCCGCAAGCAGGACCACCTCTTCCTCCTCCTCCTTCAACGGGGAGCGTTATGCAAGAGGGCGAGGACCGACCCAATTCCAATGACCCACCATTAACAGTCGTTGCCGTGCCACCACCTCCACTGCCTCCAGCAGCGATCAACACTGTGCAAGAAGATCTTGTCGGCTTTCAGACGATCATGGATGAACTTATCACTGTCACTACATCCAGCCCGTATCATCCTAATCAGAGCCACGTGATGCATCATAATCATGCGCAATGTATCACCTCTTCGCAGAACACACTGGCCATGATGACAGTAAGGCAGATGAGCAGTGTGGCAGCTGAGCTGGCAGGCCTGGCACCCGCCACAGCGGCATCCATTGCAATGCTGGACTCCCTGAAAAAGCGGTCCAGAGATGAATTTGAACGAGGAAATGGGGGAGCACATCCACCGCTCACCGTGCTAAGCAGGGTACGATCTTTCTTTCCCGTCACTCCTACTTTCTCTTTTTAAGAAGAATGTGTACTATATTGATGCAAACTGGGTCTGGCATCCCTTATATAAGATGAACCGGCACTTATGTGCACACAGTGCCACACACCCGATGAAACAACCTTCAGCATAATTCTTACGCTTACTATTTCATATGGAGGGAGCACTGACGCTTTCCCTCCACTCCTCCCCTACCGTTGGCCAACAGTTTTCAGACCTTCGAAACGCCCTGAGCACCAAAAAAAAAGAGCCAGTGAAGGCCTTCTTTTGGCTGGCGACCACAACTATTTTGCTCCAATAGCTGGCTCGCCGAAATTTGCGCTGTGTTAACTGCCGCCTCAAAGAAAAATGGCTGGGCGAGGTACTGGTGGTTTAACCTTTGGCTCCATTGAAGTACTAAGAGTAAGCAATTTGCAATGCAGATGTGCACCCACCCCCGCCCCTTCTCAACCCCCACATACACACACACATGCATGCACACATGTGCACATACACACACACACACACACACACACACACACACACACACACACACACACACACACACACATGCACACGGACACAAACACATGCACACAGACACAAAGACAAACACAAACACATACACATGCGCACAGACAAGCATGCACATACGCACAGACAAGCATGCACAATTATAGCGTACATTTATTTTCTCTTCCTGTCCTTCAAAGAACTTTTTGTATGTTGTCCAGTTTGTTTGTGATGTGGCGCCTTTCCATGTTCTCCCCGGTGTTTAATTTCAGAACCTTCAAGATGTGCCAAACAGTCGGTGTCGGCTTCTTTGTCCTGCCTGTTTGTACAACTTAGTCGGTGCCTCATTGAGCTTTGTAGTCAGTGTGCTTGTGCATGCAGCAACATGCTTCAAAATGGTGTTTAATTTCAGCACCTTCAAGATGTGCCAAACAGTTGGTGTCGGCTTCTTTGTCCTACCTGTTTGTACAACATAGTCAGTGCCTCATTGAGCTTTGTAGTCAGTGTGCCTCTGCATGCAGCAACCTGCTTCAAAATCATGGTGTTTAATTTCAGCACCTTCAAGATGTGCCAAACAGTCGGTGTCGGCTTCTTTGTCCTACCTGTTTGTACAGCATAGTCAGTGCCTCATTGAGCC